AGGGAAAAAAAGAGGAAAATCTAATTAAGACATGATCTCTGGGAAGTGAACTGACCAAAATCAAAAATAGTAAATTTGATATTATCGCTTTATTACCACTTTTACATATGTGTTAACATTTATGAATGCATGAGCAGCAGCGCAGGGGGTGTGGGAGGAAGAGAGCAACAACGAGGGCTGTCTCTGGGGCAGACTGCAGTGGAGTGCACACAAGAAGGGCTGGGAAGCCTCATATGATGCATTTACATGGATGTTACTGGTTATCTGCAGTGCTTTGTTATTTTTTTCCACCAATGGGTGACTTGGGTTTCCTTGCATTGAGTGGGTAAAGGAATCAAGGATGTGATTTCTGCAGGGGAAACCTTATTTTTGGCAAAGGTGATTTCTAATGTGTGTGCATATGCATGTGCATTTTTTCCATAACTGACTACAGAGATGTGGAAGAATTAAAGGAAGTAGATTTAATTCAACCCAAGTAAATAACCTGAATTTGATCATGAAGATATGTTTGTTTCTTTGGATCAGTAGTAGCTATTATATGAGCTTTAGTGTCCCTTGGCCTTAATTTTTCACATCTATAGAGCTCAGTAGGGATTGCCCACTTTTTCAGCATCCCCAGTCCTAAAAGTAAATTTCCCATGAATTTGATCATAGGAAAATAACGGGCCAAAAATAATGTCTAAAATCTCCAAAACTGTTAATTTGACGTCCTTTAAGTTATTAGGTAATTAAACATACTACAAACATAAGCCAGGAAAAGAGTAGGCAAGTACTGAATATTTGACATCACAAGTACTGAGGTGCATTGCTAAGAGCAACAGAAGCTAGAAGGTAGATAGAAAATAACAACAAGTGAAAGAACATCAACACGGATTAAAGTGACACACAGAAAACATGAGTAAATGGAGCACAAGTGAGGCAAATGTGGAAGAGTCTCTCTCTTCTGGAAGCTGTAGAAAACTAAAATAAGTAAAGTCATGTTCAGTAAAGCAGCTTTCTGTATTTCCATGTCTATCTCCCTTACAAGTCAAGTTTCCTATCTGAATGTGTTCCTGGCTCCACCTGAAAGGAAAACGCGCCGATCCAAACAGTCACTTTGCTCCAATCGAAGCCTCACCAACAGCATCAATAAGAAGCCACAAAGACGCAAACTGGCAAGCTCATCCAAGGATCACATTGTGATTCACAAATGCGTGTCCATCTCTCCATCTCCGCAGCCAGACAGAAATAGTCAGTTTTGGCACTGCCATAGTTTTGCCTCTTTCCCTCTGCACTGTCTGTCCCTCCCTCCTCCCCTTTCATCTCAAAGCAGGAGGGAGTGGGGGGGGAAACTGAAGTTATTGCATGTGACACACCCAGGAGAGAAAAAAGGGGGGGAAAATCGCATTACTTCACAAAGCTGAATGCCACAGGAGCAGAAAGAGATGTAGCTCTCCTGCTGCTTAATAACAGTGGAAATATTTAAAATAGGAGCAGCGGCAGCAACGGTGGAATATTTCTGAATCTATATTTAGATTGGGAGTGATGTGCCTCGCCCTGGCTCATGTGGGATTCACAGGGGAGACATGGAAATGCATCAGGGTGGAGATCAATCTAGCATGCTGCAGAGTAAAATGCAGAAAGATGTCTTTCCCCTTGCACGAACACACACACACACACAATCGGGCCAATATATCATATATTATCAAAACAAGTTCTGTCGTGTTCAGGCTGATGGCGGACGATCAAACTGAATCCTCCTGCATTTATTCCACAAGAACATTTCAAAGCATTGTAATCTCTAAATGAGGTAGGATTTACAGAGTGAGCTACAAAGTCAAATTCCTTTGTACAGCCTCTTTACAAGCCATCTATTTTTAGCTTCCGCTGCCATCACTACTCCAGCTGGATGCAAGAATATCATCTGCTATTCATTCATTCACTAACCAATAACCTGACTCCCGGGCTTGCTTTCACTCGCAGATTTCAAACATTATTACTTTCCAGGATCTTGTCACAGCAAATTGCATTGATTATTCGGCTCTACATCAGTTGGCTTTAATTACATTTACTTTGCATTGCTTCGCTAAGCATATATCTCCACGTGATTGCGACTAAATTACAATTAGCCAATGCCCCGTGCTCCTGGGAGAAAGACATAATGGTGGTTTCATGTAAATCAATGGCATGTGGGTGTTCATCTGCAAAAAATAATGAGGTACTGCAGAAGCTGGCTGAACAGTGTCACTGATAAACCTGAATTGATTTTCACTGGTATAGATTGCATAACACTGTTAGACATAATTTTTTTGGTAAGTAAAATAAAGAAAGAGCCTTAATCTGTCGCACAGCTTACAGCTTCAGTGGATATTTTACATGGGTGGAATTACATTTATTCTTATTTAGCACTATTCAAAACTTATACCACAAGTGACAATCCAATATGTTTCTTATTTTCTACTTCAATTTCTCCCTGAATTATAAGAAATCCATTTCCAAAGCCCATTAACACACTGAAGAAGCTTTAAATCTTAAAATAGGATCATTATGTTTATTTATATCCCTTAGTTGCTGTCACATTGATACCCTTTTACAGTCTAAGTTGTTCATTTTAAAAATGGACACCATTTCAAACAATCAGGTCAAGAGAATTCCAGTGAGCCAAAAACGTCTAAAATCAACGTGCTTAAAATATGCAACGGGGGTTAGAGACCATCTCAATCTGACTCTGAGTCCTAAAACTAAAAACCCCTCCAATCAAAAACCAATAAAAGCCACAATTTCAACACAGTGTTTATGTCTGTGTTTGTGGGTGACACATATTTCTTAAATAAATCATACAAAATATACTTTGTAACAGAATCAGTTGTCTCTCCACTGAGCTTCTAATTACTTGGAAATACTCAAATGTTTGAAAAAAGCAAAACCATACCAGGTACACACACTGAAAATCAAAAAATCAGACAATGTCCAAAAAAGCCCTTTAAAGGCCTCTGGAAAGCCTGAAAAATTACTGCTCTAGACTACTTTAAAAATGAAGAAAAAAAAAAGTGACTCCTTGGAAACAAAACATAAAGAAGAGAAGACTTTTGGACAGTACTGTAGGTATGGGCGAATCAGTATTGACACCAGCATTGGTAATCCAATTGGACTGAGGGGACCAACATTGTTATTTCAGCTTAGACATATCTGAAGTGAACATCTGAAGTCTCAGTAAACTACCAGCATAAAACAGTTTTCAGCCAGCTGCACGTTCTGGAGTGTCAGACCAGATCAAGAAATACCAGCAGCTGCAGTCCGAGACTGTGGAGTTAGATCCTGCCACAGTAGAAAACTGATGAGTTCACCAGTGCTAAAATACAAGTGTGGGGATTGCCCAATTGTATATTGATCCCATCAGTGTCTCAAATGGAAGTAAATCTATATCTAATAATAACATAATAATAATATATATTTAAATACTTGGTGTCTAGTAATATATTTAGGAAGCCGGCCCAAATAAATGTTAAATATGTATATACTAAATTTTACTTATTTAGTTGTTTTTTTCCGTCAGTGATACAGCTAAACAATTTAATTCATATTCATGAATATGACCATGTATCTGTTCGGTTTGTATCTGTGAATTTTTATGTTATATTCATTCACTGATGCAGGTATAGATTATAATATATAAATGAACATATTTCAGCTGTTTACTTATCATTCTTTTGATTGGGCGTACAGTGCAGTGTTTTTTTTTTTTTTACTTTATCAAAATCAGTGAGGTCGCATTGAGGAAAAATATCAAGCCACCCTTGCTCTAAATGGTCAGTTTTGTTTTATTTTATTCCTATATCGCTCTGGGATTAGCTCGTTTCCTTATATGGGCATTTCTGAGACATGAAGGCGTGGCTTAGTTTTGTTTGGAGAAGCCAGGCGAGGGGCTGCCAATTAGAAGATACTTTCAGGAGGTGAGGATTAAAGAGACAGGAGCCTGGTTTTGTTCAGACAGAGAATGAACTGCAGGACTGTATATACTAAAGATACAACAAATTTTAATGTTAATTGTTAACTGTTAATTATGCAATGACGCTGCAGCAGATTCCAAGATTAGAAATATGGAGGTGGAGAAGAACACAGTAGGTCTTCTTTGAAAGTATCTACTCAATTATTTGATTCCTTGTGTCTTTAAAGCAAAGCGATTAAATGTATGTGTGAAGCAAAGAAAAAAGAAAGAAAGAATTGATCTCTAGATTGATGGATTAATAGATCAATGAATCGGTTAAAGGGAGAGTGCAGCAGGGGTTGGGTGTGGCTGACGTAGCAGAAGCTCAAGTACTAAATAATGAATTTAAAAATAAAAATAAATCTTGAATTCAAGACACTATTAATGATAAGTTTAGTTCAGAACTAAAGAAACTGGATCAAATGATGGTAGTTTGTGTTAAGAATAAATATAAATAATAAAGTCTTAAAAAGGTTACAGTAAAAATAAATTCTGTGTGCTGGTTTTAAATTAACACAATGCGTATGAAGCAGCGTGAGTGGCTGGTCAACAGATGGTAGTGTTGACAGGCTGCTGGGTTCATTGGCCAGCTCTGTGTACAGTTAGCAGGGGGTCACCAACAAGCCCTGGGATGTTAGTCTCTGCCAGTCCCATTTTATCACATACACACTTCGTCTGTGAAATCCCTGCTTATCACAGCTCCATTCAGCTGCCACCAAAAAAGCACCTGAACAGTATGATTTATGAACTGGGGTTTGCACTGTCTGACAAGGCAAACAATCCCACTTTGTGCCGCTGCTGCAGATATGAAACTTTGTTCTCAGATATGTGATTTTGCTTTAGATGAATGAGCGACGGTGTGAAGTGAAGGTCGAGCTGAATGCCAGCCTTCAGTCAAGGAGAACATTTTTATTTTCAGCTCAAAGGAGCATGGCATGTAGATTATCAGCTAACACTTCAAAAAATGATTGCATGAAGAGATCCAAGGCTGCACGGCGACACATGCACAAGCTCACAAGAGTCTCAGGCTTACTGGAAAGTAGAGAAGCAGAGCCCCGCACAGGATGGCCTCCAGCAGGACAAGACCTGATGCTCTGATACTCTGTGGAAACACAAACACACAACAATTATTAAACTTCTGATTTATCGACCATTTAATATATAAGAAATCTGAGCACAAAATAGGAATAATATGTTTAGCCAACTGGTATCAAAGACATTCACAAGCTCAAGTTGTTCATCTTTTACTAGTACAGGGTGGTGGGACTAGTGGTGTTGTTGTAGCCCCAGGGAGATCAGTCAACACATCAAGCTATGATTATTTAACTTGAAATCTGTATAAAGCAGAGATGCAGAGAACCACAACAGCAGCCAAGTCCTGATTCTTTCAGTACCTGTGCCAAATACTCTCAGTCTGGTGACGAGAAAATATAGCAATAGCAAAATCAACTTGTAGCAGTGGACAGAGCAATATTAAACCATTAAACCAACCATTAAAGGATAAGGCAGCTCAGGAGAGACTGTGCTGGTGGAAAATTGTCGTTGGCCGATCCTCCAGGAAGGACCAAAGCCTTAACTAACTATTACTGAGGTTTTATTGGGGCCTTTTCACTGAAGAAAAATCCACCAAACAACCACAGTTCAAAGCCATGCAATGGCCATAACACCAAAACAGTGATGTCAAAGAGACTCAAATGCTACATAAAGAGCAATTGTAGTGTTGGGTGGTTTGTCACTATGACCAACTTCAATTACATTACAAACAGATTGCAGAAGAAAGTTTTTCAGTTTTTAATATAAAAACATAAATGGACAGCTTTAATTGTGATGTGTGTGTACCGTAAACAGAAATAAACCAAATAACATGTACAGAACTGCCCACTTTTTAAAAGATATAACAGAAACAGGGTATCATTTAGGCGATTCTGTAAGCCAAAAAGTTTTTATTCACATTAAAAATGTATCACACAGCATGTCAAAATACTCAAGGCTGATTTAAAGAGGATGGAGGTTTGTTCCTTGTTACTTGAAAGAGGAGAAGAGCAAAGCAAAAGCTCCTCCCTTAAGCACTTTTTATAGAAGCATCCACCATTTGCAGGCGCTTTGTGTGCACCTCTTGTGTAAGATATTTAGCAACATATCGTCCTCTAATTGACAAGGCGCTTGAGGGGGGCTTTCAGAGAGCAGAGGACAGCTGTGCCACCCATTTAAAGATACATGCAAAAGAAAGCAAAAGGGCTCTCTTGGTGCACCAGATAAACTTATTTAATTAAATTGCATGAATGTAATTGAAAAGTCTGCAAAGAACTTTGAAACAAAATCTTAAACTTAGTTTAATGACATTAATTGGAATTATATAAGTAGCCTTTAAATTATGACAAAGCCCTGGAGTACCTGAAACATCCATCTGCTTTAATAATGGGGATGATCCTTTGATGAACTCTAGCCGTTGTAATGGCAGAGTCCTCGGGTGTGGAAGACAGAGCAGCTAGAAGTTCCTTTGTCAGGAATGTGGAGCATCTTCAGGCTAAACCTCAGATGTTTGATGCTCAATTCAAAGCTAGTAATTAAGACACTTAACTGACAGAAACAATGGGAGCAATGGGAGGCTGAAAAGTTCAGAGATTTAATTAGGTAGATGTTAAACTAAAGAAAAAATGTTTGAAATATTAACCATACAAAATCAAGTTTTGTGTCTTGACATGAATATATATTTATTTTTTTGTTCCAAAACACGAGACATTGTACGGTGTATTCAGGTAACACTGAACAGTGGGAGCAGTCGCAGTTTTCCCCATATGGTATCTCACTTTTTCTTATCCTGGAAAAGTACACAATACACACCCCGTCTCCTGCTTTTTGTGGGAGTTTTTTCTTCCCACTGTCGCAGAAGGGTTACTTGATTGGGTTGTCTGGCTGTTGAGGTTTTCTCTCTAACATTGTAGGGTCTCACACCTGAGTTGGCTCCTGTAGTGAAATGAAACTGAATCTCCTGTTTGTCTGCTACGGTTTGCAGATCCCAGCAAGTGTAGCATCCTGAGTGTGTGTTGAGGTAGTTCTGTGTTTTGAGTCGCAAAGCTTTTGAATATTAGTATTAATATATAAAACACTCTGTTTCTAATGCATGTTTCATTTTTCGGCATATTAGAGCAGTGATGCTCAGACACCATCAACAAATTGAGTTGCTAGACTGATGAGGAATCTGTGTCATCAAAGTGCTGCTTAGTAAATGATTAAAATATAGTCTTGCTGATAACTAACAAATGTAACTCAATGCCCTCCACAGCATTCTGACGCTAGTCTAATTCTGGTACTTGAAAACTCCAGGACTGATTCCTGGAGGATCGATCTCTGTCTCTCTTCCACAGCATGTCTTTTATCCTGTCGTCCTTCTCTCACCCCAACTGGTCGCGGCAGTTGGCCGACCCTCGCTGATCCTGGTTCTGCCGGTGGTTTCTTCCTGTTACAAGGGAGTTTTTCCTCCCCACTGTCGCCAAAGTGCTTGCCCATAGGGAGTCATATGATTGTTGAGTTTTCTCTGTATGCATTATTGTAGGGTCTACCTTACAACATGAAGCGCCTTGAGGCGACTGTTGTTGTGATTTGACGCTGGATAAATAAAATTGAATTGAATTGAGTTGAAAAGCCAAATCCCACTTTTAAAAAAGTAGTTACGTAGATCCAAGAAACAAAAGAATCACCAAAGAGATGCTACGAATTAGACTGAATTTGTAATTCGTGTAAGTAGTATGTACTACTTCATGTACGGAAAGTATAGACTTAGAGAGGGTTAGAGTCAGAGGTTACGGTTACATCACAATAACATGAAAAAATGAATGAGCTCTTTTGATCAACCACAAAATTTGTATAGGTATCCTCACCCAGGCAAAAAAAAAAGGACAATCGTTGTATTTGAACCCAAACCACAATCTTTTTCTAAACTTAACAGAATAGTTTTTTAAGCCTTTAAGTCCATTTAAAATCTCAAACCTGACTAAGTCTCTAAATTCCTCCACTACCAGCACATCCAGCCTGTTTTCTTTTTTTTTTTCACTTTTTAGATAGAAATTGAGATCTAGAAAGGCGATACAGTAGATACAATGAGATGAAACTAGGAGGAGGATGATCCACTGTGGCGACCCTTAAAGGGAGCAGCTGAAAGTAGGTATGGGGCTTGTCAAATGAAAAAGCTCATTCAGGCAAAAACAAAAATAAACGTGACTAATTCGCAAACTCATGCCATGCTCGAGTAAGAAACGAGTAAAATACAGTATTCTCCACGTTTGCTGATCATTCACTCTCTGTGACTGATTATAGGACCCCACCGTACCACAGGCAGCACTCTTGCATGAGCTAAATCTCAATCTTTACTTTGCATCACATCTTACATTCATACTCTTCTTTTTAAAGGTGCATGGTCTCAAGGTCATGTAAATAATGTAAAACTTAGTGAAGTTACTAAATTAAGCAGGGGATTTCAACCAGGTGTCATCATTCAAATATACATATAAACCACGCATCATAAGTAAAAGATTAAACAGATTGAATGGTGAGTGGTCTGATGTATGAATCAAAGTAAATGTGCTTTTGTGTTTGCAAACTTTGGTCGTGATCCAAGGTGGTGATTTTGACTTGATCTGAAGTGTTCGATTCATTTGAAATCATTTCAAAGCTTTATTGTGACCACCCACATTTGGAACTACTGTTTATTAGTTCGAGCGGGCTTTGATGACCATATGGCCTATAAAACATCAAACATGTTGATGTGATGTTGCAATTGTGAATTAAATTAGTGTAGATCTCTCTTATCTACTGCTGAGTCACAAAACTTTAGCTCTTCATGGCATTAATGACTACATTCTTGGTTTAAAACACATAAATATGATTATATTAAAGAAGAAGATGCCCTTTAATACCAATTCAAGATGACGTATCTGGAAAATCATTGTTTTATTATAACACCTACCTTATTCCTACGAAAGTGGTATATAAGGACCATGCTAATGAAGACGATCAGCATGCAGAGGCACTGGAAAGAGACCACAGCCATGCGAAGAGCGCCATCCTCTTGTACCACACAGGGGGTGTCATCTTTACAGTAGGCACAACCCTGCTGGCAAGGCAGGCAGTCACTGGAAGATCCCTCCTCTGTGTTGGGACTGCTATCTGCAGGTTTTCCCTTCCTCCCCATTCCTGTCAAAGAAAACATTGAAAAGAAGAAGTCCCAAAATCTTAAATACTCAAAGAAACAAACACTAAATAAAAACTCTCACAGGCTGATTTCATATTTTTTGTGTGTTCCAGGACAATTATAGCTACATTTTTAATAATAATAAAAAATAAATAAACGGCCCGAAATACTGACACAATAACCCCGCCAACAATTTTCTGCAACTGAAGTTCATTTAGGCTAAAGTAGCACATAAATTAGTGCATTTAATAAAAATTAAAAATACTAAAAAATATCTGAATTCAAGAGCACAATGTGCTGAATAAATACATTTCTGAAATATTAAATGCAATTCCAACAGCTAAAAGTCACGGATAAATATTTAATGGATAAAATGACAAATAAGTTTAGCTTATTCAGTTGGCTAACAATAGAAATGAATTATGAAATATAATGAAATAAAGGTTGTACTCTTAGTTTATAAAGCAAAACAAAAGAAAGATCAACAGTTGAAAAATGCTAGAATTAATGGTGGGACTGATAAGTTGTTAACTTAAAATAAATGAGCTAGATGATAAACTGTCGTGTGAAAAAGAAAGTACGCACTCAAGTTTTAAGTTTTTACGTATCAGGACATAAAAAGAGATCATCTGGTCCTTAAGAGGTTCAAAAACTGGTTAAATATAACCTCAGATAAACAACAGGGCAACATATTACACAATGTTACTGAATATTTAACAAAAAAATGAATGTGTGAAAAAACTATGTACACCCTTCCTCCATCCATAGGAATCAAGAGGGTAAATAGCATTTCTGCTAATCAGATGCAGATCATCGTAAACAAGTCTGAGCAGCTCTATAAAAGTAAAGAAGGCCATCATTGTACACTAAGAAAGATTATTCACAAGTGAAAAACATTCAAGACAGTTGCCATCTCTTACCAGGAGTGGACATTCAAGAAAATTCACCCCTAGATCAGACTGTGCAATGCTCAGAGAAACTCCAAAAACCCAAGAACTACAAAGCTTTGTCCAAATTTGTTCATGCAACATGACAATGATGAGCAAATCCACAACAGAACAGCTGGAAAAGAAATCAAGGTAATGCCATGGCCTTAAGAGAGCTGTGCATAAACAAATGCCTTTAATAGAAATTATTTAATAGAAAACACATAACAAATAGAATACCCATACGCTATAAAATAAATCAGAATATAAAAAAGTACATTTATTAATATGGTAACACAATCTGACAGAGTTAGTTAGCTAGAAACAGAACTAGAAAATCAGTTTGCCAGTTGGTTGAAATTTTTTGCTAAAGTTGAATGAATGAATTTGAAACAATAATCAATAGTGTAGTTAAAATATTGGTTGAATGGTTTGATCGCTTTGTTATAGGTAAATATAAAGATAAAAGACTGTAACATCTACTTTCACTGAATTAGGTTTTACACAACTACCCTTGACCTGTAAATCTTTTTGATTTGTATATGTGTTTTTTTTTGTTTTTTTACTCAATAATTTGACATTCGACATCATATTTTGAAGAAGATAGGAACAGATGGTACAGCAACTGTCATTTAAATTTTCCTTGTTATTGAATTTTCCTCCAGATCTGTCCAGATGAAGTGCGTCAGTGGCAGAGTGAATCCCGACTGTATATATACTCTTCTTCGTCTCTGACCTTACAAGAAGCCATCGACACTGTGTCAACAAAAGGGAGATGGATCTCTGTGTGTGAACATGGAAAGTCAACACTGCTCAACCCTGTTCAGTCACAGGCATATCATACAAGGCTGATGACTTCAGCTCCCTAATAAAAACACACACAAAGACTTTTTTTTAAAAACTTTTTTGGTTTATCCTACCAGGACCAGAGAAGCTGTGAAATGTTTTTGAATGAAGCGTAGTATAAACTAACTATAACCACTTCAAAAGTAGCTGTTTTTTATTTGCTCAAATACATTGGTCACATTGGGAAGTAGCAAAAACTTACGCAAACTTAAGAAAAAAACTCTCTCTCAGGGTAAAGTAAGGTAAAAAAAACAAAAAACTAAACAAACCCAGGGGGACAACAAGGAGGAAGTGGACTTGTTATTGGCTTGTATAGAAATCCCCTGAGAGATGCCCATGTGGTTGGATAGATAACACATTTTGGACTTATAGAGCTTTTATAGAGGCTTTATTGGAAGCAGGCATTGTCTCAGAGATTTGCAGGGATTTTGCCTTTAAAAAGAAACTGGCCTATTTTTCAAAGCTATGACTCGGCACATCATTGATCCCTTCAAAAGGAGTACTTATCTCGGTAGCATTGAGTCATTTCCTTTAGCTCATTCTCAGTGGTTTGTTGCTGCTACGTTTGAGTGACAGTCAAAGGAAACGCAGCTACAGTAACCTCTCTCCCATATTTATATGCAAGATACACAATGTAAGATCACTGTGAGAGAAAGGGAAGAGAGTTGCACAGGCTTCCTCTGCAGGAGTGTCAGTGATGTCCCCTTGTGGATTAACAGGCTTGTTATTGGCCCCATGGTGGGCCAAACTGCAGCACAACGCCTCGCTAACAGGCTTGCTTTTCCTCTCTATTGCTGGGTTAACAAAGATGCACACACACTGAGCTTTCATGCAGATTTGAACACTTGCACATGCAAGTTTGTGTGCCTTCGCAGCACAGCAAACAACACAAATTGGCTAAATCAGACAGAACATATATTTAGCTCTCTGTGCACGAAGTGTGACGTTTTAGAGTAAAAAATGGATGCAATAAGATGGTGGAAAAATCTGAGTGAAGGAAGGTAAGGGGGAGGGAAATGGATGAGAATGGGGGTAAAATTGAAACAGACGCACGAGAACACGCTGTATGAGGTTTGAGTGGGATGAGGCAGGAGGGAAAGTGGATTGAAATGAAAGTATGGCACAGAAAGTGATGGAGGGCAGGTGAAAACCACTGGGGTTCTGTGTCTGCAAAAGCCATTTTTAATTAACTCACAGCAGACAGAATAAACTGGAGAAAGTCGCTACCATTAAAAAGATATTTCCCTTCTCGAACCAGATTAGCCTCCCCAGGTACTGGGGCTACTTCAATTTTCAGACAGGGCGGATACGGTTATTGCAAATAGCTGACGGTCTTCGTCATAAAGTGCAGCTTTTAGCAGAGTCAGAATTAATAAAATGAACTTATTGTTAATTCATCTGCTCTATTTTAGTGAGAGAAAAAAGGATGATTATGTGGAAACATTTTAAAATTTCCAAACATTTGCTGCCCAACTGCTTGAAAAATCTGATGCTAAATAATAATTTTTTACCTTTGTGTCTCCTGTGCTTTTTACTTCCTGTTCCGCTAATTACCCGCTCTCACCTGCCTCTCATTGTGCAATCAGTCCTGTGTGTCTACATATAATCCTCCCTTCACCTTCATCAAGACGTCAGTTTTCCCCCCATGTTTTACTGGTTCTTAGTGTCTGGATACGCCCTGTTTAGTCCAGTGACTGCAGTGGACATTGTTTTTTTCAGATTTTTGCCAATTAAGGCACTTCTTTTTCATTGTTATTCCACCAAACTCTACATTCTGCACTCAGCTCTTCTCTTCACCTCAGTCCAGGACAAAGGTTTTAACTGTGGACGTTGTAAATCAAAAAGTACAATAAACACAACTTACCAATCCTTCAGTTTACTCACATTTGTCAGATCTTTCAGCCACGTTTCATGGACTGCTGTGGCGTTTAGTCAGTAAGAAAATTTCCAGACAATTTCCAGAAAATATTAAATGCCATCAAACATTTTGATATGCACAGAAGTAACTAATATATTTAACAAAGGTGAATTAAAGCCAGGGTATAATTGGGCACATACTGGCTATAATGTACGCACTTCCACCTGTGATTTCCCTGCTTTAAGTCGTAGGGTTGTTCATTGTTAGCATGTTTAGCAACACTTAAACGCAGCCACATGAATAAAGTCTGCATACAAAGGAACAATCATCTTACAGTGACTGATTTGCCATTACTTACTTGTAAAACCATTGACAGCTACTCTGTTGGGATGATAGAAACCTTTCCTGCAGTGGCACTTGTACTTGTCCAAGACAAATCCGTGACCACGGATCGGCAAACACTGAGAAGAGAAGACCAGAGACAAAAATGAGTGCAGTTTAAGCTAGAATAAGTTTTACAATCAACAGCGTTTAATCGTGACATCTTGTAATGCAGACACAGACGTGAAAACTATTAAAATATGTCAATACCAAAGCAAAAAGTAAAGCCCGCAAACCACATTCAGCAAACAGACTGAGATCAAGTGCCTTGCGGGAGGGACACGGGTCTAATTATTTAAGTTGTGAGATTCCTCTTTCTGTCTAACTGTGCCTCCTCGTCTCTCCATATTAAATTAGTAAAGCCTCTTCCATTTGATTGAACGTGTGATAGGAAGTAGACTGAGAAGAGCAGAGAAAAACACGAGGGGCGTCAGGGGGCACCCTTGGCAGACTTTGTGTGCTGTTTGCCAAATTACAAGACATAATTAATAGCTAAATTAAGAACAGACTTATTTGCCTGATTAGAGAATCGCCATTAATTCTATTTCTTGTGGGAATGAGATTTCATCATCTCCCCAGTACAAACACATTTTCCCCTCTCATTCTTGCTCTCCTTCAAAAACTCCTTTACTGTTTTTTTTTTTTCTCCACACAACGTGAACATGTTTTTCTAAACCAAGACGATAATGACTTATGAATCCAAAGAAACGACAAGAGGCCCAGAATAGCAACGGTACTTTAGCTGACACTTGACACGCTGTGAAGTGTTTGTGACCTGACTGAGAGATCTAGAGGAAAGGCCGGTGGCAACGTCAAAATGAAGCACCAGTCACTGTGATGCTCTTCACAGCGGACTGGACTCGGCATGTCTTGAGAGGCTGCTATTTCTGACTGTCTCTCAAGGTCCTTGGTGAGGGCTGAATGCATTTTTCAGTCCGAGAGTGTGCGCTCCTCAGTCGAAGCCTTGAGAGGCCAGCCAGGACTCAAAAGCCCAAGGTAATTACCAGGTTACTATTCAGTGGACAACTTCCTCAAGTAAATTCCACTGAAGAGGCCAAAGTATATGAAGTGACTCTTCACTAATCTGTCGAAGACGACTTGTCGTTTTAGTGGTGAGACCCTAGAAAGACCCTCAATCTGACACCCGTGAATCTGATTTTCCTCACCACTGTACTCAAACACTATATAATACCCACACGGCTCGTAACGAAGTAGATGCTTATTTCAAGACATACCCTCTATGTCACGTATCTGTCAAGTATTGGCGGAGAGACGACCCAAATGCAGGTAAAAATCATTAGAGAGCATGTCTTTATCAGCTAGAAAAACACACGGTCCGAAAGAGAAAACAAAACAGAATCACTAGGTGCTGTCTAGTATTTATAAAATGTCCTCCCACTTCCTTTACCCAAATCCATTTACCTGGAAAATGTCAAGAAATGTATAAAGTTATATGCACATAGCATTATATTTTAGTATATTATAGTATATTTATATTTTAGAATCCTTAACAACATGGCGACAAATCTCATCTGTGTTGCAGCATCAACAGAAAATGCACACCCTGCGTGATCTCACTTTGTTGTTTGAGCCAGGCCATATAAACAAGAACCACCAGTGAAAAACGTCAATTTATCCCAACAGATGGAATTTTAAAGGAAAAGGAAGACGTGCTTGGATGAGGAAATCAATTAAAGGCAATCCCAAAGACTAAAAATACAATGACAACCTGAATCTTCAAAGATGACAACAATCTGTTTTGATAAGAAGCAGAGTTATTCACAGGAGCCTAATGTTCATAGTTCAGCTGTGGGCTTAACATAGCGACTTGTTGAAGGTTTATTATGGCTGCCAAACAGTTAGGAACCTTTCTGGGCACATTTGACTGTTTGAAACAAAAATGAAACATAAGCAAAAGCAGACAATCAGAAAGGAGGGAAAAGAACAAAAGCAGGAAATAAAAGAGCTGAGGAACCAAACCTTCAAAGTAAAACAGGAAGTAACCAAAAGATAACTAATTAACCACAAGGCATCACGACAGATAAAGGGGAACGCAGAAAGTAGAAAATAACACTAGAGACAACCGAACACTAACAGAACTGCTGACATTTTGTTATATATTTTATGCTATTAGTGTCACATGCTTTGAATATATTCCCCCATCATGCTTTTTTTAAGCGCTCTTCCAACAGTCATGTTCATGGGGAATAAAAATGCCCAGAGTTTTTCTTTAAAATAAGTTTTACAGTAGCTTCTGTTAATTTTTGTTTATGCACAGACTGTGTATTGAAGGGTGTAGCCACAGTGATATGATTCATTGGTTTGTGAAGCTCCATCTGGAAGCCTTAAACTAAGTATTAAAAAATCTGTTTTGAAAACAGACATATGAAGCTAGAGCTGACTGTCAAACTACAGTTTGACACTGCATGCTCATACCGTAGCAACTTCTCATTCAGAAAGTAGCCATGCCCGAAAGCATTCCCTGCTGCTGTCATCTGGTTCTCTCTGAAGAGCAACGTTAGTTACCCAATAAACATCATGTTATATTTAGTAAGATTTGAAACTAGTGACCACAAAGAAAATAGACCAAATGTTCATTAGCAAAGTGTTTAGTGTGGCTATAGAAAACGTGACCATCAGTCTTTATGTAGCCAGAGGAGTTGCCCCCAGCTGGTCAGCTACAATAGAGGTGCGACTCCTTAGCCATCCTTTATTTACAGTCTGTGGGTTTGTTGTTATACTGTTGACTAAAGGATATTTTAAACCTCACTAGAAATAAATTATTTTATAGTGAAAGGCAGGTATATTTTGTAAAATTTAGTTACAGTGAAGATCACACAGAATTATCACCCAACCTGCACAGAATTTTAGCATCTTTAGCTCAGTGTGGTTGTTTAGTGAGAAGTTCTAGAGGTCCATCTGTGCAGCTCCAAAGAGTGTATGAACAGAGTTAGTGACTTGTTGTGTTTCACGTAAAGAGTGCTGCAGGAGCTTATGAATCAGTTTTGGAGTTAAGTACATCAGGTCTGACTCAGAGAAGTGACTCCAAATAGTAAATGGTAAATGAGTAATTATCTTAATATGCCACTCCATTATCTTACAAACTTGTTAACTTGTAATAACATATGCAAACAAGAGCACAGATACTCTAGAGAACAATGAGGGAGAAGAATATAGTTCATTATTATAAAAGTCTTACAGATGCAGAATTTGATTACTTTCTTTTGTAAAACTGCATTTTACTGATACCTTGTTTTGTACTTAATAAAATCGAGGCTTATGCAGCTTATGGACCTGATTTTTCTTTGCTTATTATTGGCTTGAAATGACAGCCAGAGGTAACTGCAAACTGCCAAGTCACTCAAAACCAGAGACTCAGATTGGACATTGATGAGTAAAATGAATGAGCGCATAAATAAGGTGCTTAGGAAGCTGTTTGGATTTCACTGGATAGTTTTAGCTCCGCACTGTCTAGAGACCAAAAAAATCACAGAATTGAATCTGTAAAGCAGATGATTCGCCATATTGGCGAGTTGTCCATCTTTCATCTGAATCCACCTGCTCTTGCTTTAAATGAGGACTGTGGAACAACAAAAAGTCTGGTAACTGATTTCCCCACTGATTCTCCAAAAGTCACTACCTCAGGACAGGTTCATCGTGCTACAGCTACTGCCTGCCACTGTTAATATTCCCACCTGATGGAGACACTAGGAGAAACTGTCAGAGACAGGTGTGTGTGTGTGTGTGTGTGTGTGTGTGTGTGTGTGTGTGTGTGTGTGTGTGTGTGTGTGTGTGTGTGTGTGTGTGTGTGTGTGTGTGTGTGTGTGTGTGCCAGCATGCATATTTTTAGTGTGTGTGACAGGGGGAGCCAGGAATAGCCCTGGCAGTACATCCCATTCCTGCCTGCTGTGGTGACTGATGCAGGGGCTCAGATGTGGAGTTTGTTGAAGGGAGAAGCAGTCCACCTCTGAGCTACCTGCCATCAATCACATGTGATCTCAGGCAGAAGACTGGTACATTTCAAAGGACTGTAAAATGCAAAGCCACAAGAAATCTTTCATCTTAAAAAAACAAGATAATGTTCTTAGAAAATTAGTCATAAAACAGTAATTGTATCTTTTACATTGTTTTATGAACCATATTGACAATAGGTACAACTGTTCCTCTGCTCGTTAATCCAAATATCTAATCAGCCAATAGCACGGCAGCAAGTCAGTGCAATTAGGCATGTAGACATAGTTAGGATGTCTTACTGAATGTCAAACTGAGCATCAGGATGCAGCAGAAAGGTAATTTAAATGACTTTTAAACAGCATTTCAGAAACTGCTTATTTGCTGGGATTTTCCAACACAACCAACTTCAGGGTTTAAAGAGAAAATATCCAGTGAGCAGCAGGTCTCTGAGCTAAAATGTGTTATCAGTCAAGGTCAGAGTAGAATAGCTAGACTTCATCAAGCTGAAATAACCACTCGTTGCAAACCAAGGTTTGCAGAAGAGCATCTCTGAATACATAACCCATTTAAAGCTGAAGCAGATGTACCACAAGCAGCAGAAGACCACACTGGGTGTCACTCTCTGCACAACCTAAGCCCAAAACTGGACTCTCTGATGAGCTGATGACCATGCCACACATGTCACACTGTACTCAAATGGCCTTCACGGTCACCAGATCTGAATCCAGTAGAGGATTTTTGGGATGTGGTGGAACAGGAGATTCGCATTATCACGTGCAGCCAAAAAATCTGCAGCTACTGTGTGAAGCTTTGATCTCAATATTGACCTAAATCTCTGAGGAATGTTTCCAGCACCTTGTTGAATCTATCCAATGAAGAATCAAGACTGGAGGGGTTCAATCTGGTACCAGCAAAGCAGCTGTGCAGCAAGATGCAGTAAACACTTTAGGTTTGCAAATAATGATGAATATTGTAAAATATTAACATGGGGCTATAATTCTTTCCCTTATATACACTGTTACAATGGTGGACGCTCACATAGAGTAAAGTCATCCTTATGAGTAAAACTGAAAATGAGTGAAAATGAACACATCTTTCAAAATGTTTTATGGAGATGTGCACAATT